AGCTACTGTATTGTTAGAGTTAAAGAATGCATCACATGACTTGGTAAGTTCCAAATTCTGTTTTAATTTGTCATCTAGCTGGCATCTTGTGTATTGGCATAGACTGAGAAGCTGTTTTGGAAGTTACTGAATTATTAGTATCTTTTTTTATATTGTAAAATAAGTAACTGACGCTTAGGCTGAATCATCTGCACTGAGGGATACTGTTGTGGGTGAGATACCTAGTGTTGTGGGTAAGATGACTTCATGAAGATAGATGATGGCCTTGCCAATCCCAGTGTGGAGGTTACCTTGAGTCATTGGGCACCTTCTTGATGAACTTTATTGATATGCTGAATAGTTATGAAAATTGCAAATCAGTTGGTGTATGCTGACTCAATGATTGGACTTCAGTTGTTCATGTAACTTGATATGTTCTTATGTATTGGCCATTGGCAATCTTCAATTCTTGAATGCTTTTAGTAAAAAGGTCCCTCTGATTTTAGGCAATGATCACTGGGGACCAAGCTTTAACAGCTTGCCATGTTGCCAGCCTAGTGCATATCATCTCAAAACCAACATTAATTCTTGTCAAAACAAGGAGTGAAGGATATGAGTGGATCTCACCAGATGAAACAGAGGTTATGCCGTACAGGTAGCGTTTATTCTATTTATTGTTGGATATGATGTAATATTTCATGTTTCAGGGTCTTGAATCATGTAATAATTATATAGGCCTTCCATTAGCTCGAGTCTATGCATCTGCTCTCTCTGACAAAGTCTTTCATATTGTAGTATGCCAGGCTGCTTGCAGTAATAGTTCCCTGCTTTTATGTTTCTCAGATTTTAACCACATGTGAATTAGAAAATGGTTGTGTTTCAAGGCTTTATTCTCTCTTAGTTGTGTTCTCCTAGTGGTTTCTTTTATTTTGCTCTTTGCGAGTATGTGAGACTTTTTGCTGAAAATCTCAGCTTCTGAATTGTCAGTGACAAAGAAGTTGAAGCTTTATCAGAGACCCATGATCTGTGCATTGGAGGTGACTGTATTGAAATGCTGCAACAGAGTTCAGCTGTTCTTCGTGTCATTCCTTATGTCAAGGTTCTAATCTGTTGCATTTAATCTTAAAATTCATGGTTTGTTTCATTCTCATCTTAATCAGAAGTTTAAACTGCTGTTCAGGTCTTTGCAAGGGTTGCCCCTGAGCAAAAAGAACTGATCATGACTACATTCAAGACCGTGGGGAGGATTACATTGATGTGTGGGGATGGAACAAATGATGTTGGAGCTTTGAAGCAGGTAAAATTTCAGATTAGTTATCAGTTACGAGGGCATAAATCTCTTTTCAACCTTCTGGTTTGGATTCATATAACCATATCACAAGTTAGGTTCAGATTTTGCTTTCAATCATGCACTCGGCATGCATTCATATAATCACTTGTCAGGTGTGATATGCCTTTGTCCGAGGGAGAAATTTGATTATCCTAGAGAAAAGCATTAACCTTGCTGTAACATTTTATACCCAGGCCCATGTAGGTGTAGCCCTATTGAATGCAGTGCCTCCATCGTCGGAATCATCTAAAAAAGTTAAAGACGAAGGAAAAGATGGAAATGAGAAGCCTGTTGTCAAGCCTTCCAAAAAAGCAAATACAATGACTGAAACGGGGTCTTCTTCAAGGGGGAGAGCCGGAACTAAGTCAGATCCCATCAGTAGGTCTGTTGGTAATCGTCATCTAACGTCTGTAGAAATGCAGCAGCAGAAACTGAAGAAGCTGATGGACGAGATGAACGAAGAGGGTGACGGTCGATCGGCTCCAGTTGTCAAACTTGGAGACGCTTCGATGGCATCCCCTTTCACCGCAAAGCACGCGTCTGTTGCCCCGACGACAGACATCATACGCCAAGGTCGAAGCACTCTGGTGACCACCCTTCAGATGTTTAAGATCCTTGGTCTCAACTGCCTTGCCACAGCATATGTGTTGAGCGTCATGTACTTGGATGGTGTGAAGCTTGGCGACGTCCAGGCTACAATCAGTGGCATCTTTACTGCCTCATTCTTCCTCTTTATCTCGCATGCACGTCCTCTCCCCACACTTTCCGCTGAGCGGCCCCACCCAAACATTTTTTGCTTCTATGTCTTTCTGTCACTAATGGGGCAGTTTGCGATGCACTTGTTCTTCCTCATTTCTTCAGTGAAAGAAGCTGAGAAGCATATGCCGGAGGAGTGCATTGAACCGGATTCTGATTTCCATCCAAATTTGGTAAACACAGTTTCATACATGGTGAGCATGATGATTCAGCTAGCAACCTTTGCCGTGAACTACATGGGCCATCCTTTCAACCAGAGCATCTCCGAGAACAAGCCTTTCATGTATGCTCTGTTGGGTGCCGCTGGCTTCTTCACCGTCATAACCTCAGATCTTTTCAGGGATCTGAATGACTGGTTGAAGTTGGTGCCTTTGCCGCCAGGGTTGAGGAATAAGCTTCTGCTTTGGGCGTTTCTTATGTACTTGAGCTGCTACGCTTGGGAGAGATTGTTGAGGTGGGCGTTCCCTGGCAGGATTCCGGCATGGAAGAAGCGTCAACGTGTTGCTACTGCAAATTTGGAGAAGCAAAAACGCATGTGAAGATCTGCTGGGTAGCGGATAGGCAACCATTGGTTGGCATTTAGCTGCAGATTAGCTTTGGTAATGTACCGTTTTTTGCTTTTCGTCCACCCCCGTTGAATTTTGGCTGCTATATATGGTTGGAGTTTGTCTGCTGTCGATTCAAGCATCATGTGAAGCGGGATTTGCCTTTTGAACACTTAGATGTCTGAAGTTCTTGCTACCTCATGAACAGGAAAGAATTTAATTGGACTGCTGCCAGTGATGGTTGGACTGTTAATTACCTGTATTAGCCTTGCATTGCACGTGTGTCAGTTCAGTGACTGCGTTCGGGCAATTTCTTTCAGCAGTACATAGTTATTGGGTATGGAAGGCAATTACAACCCGCCAATGAGGCAAGGACACAGGGCCGGCCAAGTGCATAACTAGAATAGATCTCTTGATTCCGAGTGTTGTAAGCAGGGCTGCAAATAGGGATGGCAATGCCCTGGTTATAGATATCCAAACCCGTACCCGATTCATATCCATGCGATGAATGTTTTGCAAACCCATTCTCGTATGGCCGTATCTATGGGTTTCGGATACCTGTGGGTAATACCCATCTCGTACATTCAACATCATTATATCTAAGACTTTTAGAAAAGAGAGAAAAGGGAGATTCTAGCGAGAGAAGGTTGAAGAGAAGTCAAAAAGCCAAGGAAACTTTGGGAGCTCAAAATCCATCCAAAAGCAACAAGATAGAAAAAATCTTGAAGAAGATAATGCCTATAACCTTGGAGATGTCTTTTATTGGTTGTTTGGTCACTTTTCTTCTATCTATGAACTAATCTCTTGTTGTTGCGGTTAGATGAATCGTAGATGTGTGGGTTAGGATAATGAATTCCATTCATGGTATTGCTATTGATTTCTCAAATTTGATCAATTTTGAGTAATTGTGGGTCATTGGCTTAGTGGAAGAAATTCATTTTGTTAGATTAGAACAACCATGAAAGGAAAAGAGGGGGAGGTTGTATGAAAGTGAATTGTACCCTCTTTTTGGACTAAGACAACTTAGTAGCGTAATTCAAAGTACTTCCAAAAGCTTTATTTATGTAGAATGGTTGCTTGATAAAGAATTTCAATAACTAATTGGAAGGTTTATAACTTATAACTATGCTTGAACAACTCTAGGGGGGATCCAACACCCTAGCAACTTGTTCACTATTTTAATAAACAACCCAGCCTGGGGCGGAGGGAGAGAGTTAGAGGGTGGGTCCCCGGACCCACCTTGGCTCGGGTTTCAATTAGGTACAATAGTTAATCGGCTATGAAAAATAATACGTATTTAAATGAAATTGGTAGAACTTTGAAATATTTGATGTATGATTTATAACGAGCGTTGACATATTCAATGTATTTTAACGAGCTATGTACAAATGATAATGATGTATATGATTCGGCCAAAATTGAAGATGTATGTATTCAATATTTACAACAAATTTCCACCAAATCATAATTTATTTGTAAAAATAATTTTATTTCAATCAGGGGTAGAGAGATTGTAACAGGTGTTTTCTAAGGACGAAAATGAGTAAATTAGTACAATAGTTAATTGAGAATGAAATTTAGGGCACTTCTAATTGAGAATGGTTGACCGAGATATCATTTGTTCGAATCTTTGTAACCCTATTTGTTAAACACATGATATTCGGATTTACGTAAACTTTAAGCACGCATAAGTTGGTTGTAGTAAGCAGGAAAAGTGTTAGTAAATACTAAATAGTATTAGATTCATTATTAAATCTTTCCTAACAACTCGAGTTAATGATACTAAACGGCCTTGACGAAGAACACGATTCAAAAGCAAATATCTAACTAAATCATAAATAATTGTTTGATACATATATGGTGATATTCTTGATAGTTTTGACATATAATTTAATTTACCAAGTTTTTTCAAATACAAAATTATATCATGAACGATTTAGAAAGCTAACAAAATTATGTTATCGTATGTATTTTTTCTAAATGGACCCACCCTCGACAAAATCCTGGCTACGCCCCTGCCCAGCCATGCAATTTACTTGTGCATGCTTAGTTGTAGTAGTGAGTAGTTGGTACTACAAGTAAAAACAACCTAAATTGGTTTTTATAGTTATTTGATCCAAAGTACTAATAGCTCCAAAACCCCCTGTAATAGTATCGAGTTGATTCTTGAGTTTCAAATCAATCTAACTCGCTAACCAAACTCAACAAGCCAAACGCAACGAGCCATCAAGTCAAGCTAACTTCCAAACCTAATAATTAACGAATTGAGTTGAACATCACTCGATCTCTACACATTAGTTAATGAGCGAGCCCGTGAAAGAATACATGTCTACAAGAGAAGCAGTGAAATAGAAATTAGGGACGGGAAACGCCAAAGGCATTGTCCAACCCACATTTTCCTTTATAAATCTTTCCCCTCAATTCTTTTCCTTTTTGATGAGGACCAACCTCCATTCACTCATTTATTAGCCACGTCCACAGCCAAAAGGAGGACAAACAAAAGCAGGAAGCACAACACAAGTGTGCAATGTGCAGACTGACAGAGAAAGAGAGGAGAAGAGGAAAATTTCCCTCACAACTTTTACTCAAAACTGTACTTTCCACTCACTTTCGTTCTCTTCTTCTCGCACTGTTCACCATCTTTCTCCTCAACCACACAAAACAAACTCCAAACTCGCCGGACGACTAGGATTCATAAAAAAGATATATACGATTAATCGTACCACATTTCGCTTCCTTCCTTCGAGATGGCGGCCGGCGTTCTGCTTTGGGTTGTTGGTCCGAAAGAGAATGCTGTCAGTTCCTCCGCTCTACTCGGTCTCATACCCAGAACCGGAGCTGGCGGCGGCGTCGCTTCGCAGTTGGTAACTAGGCCCAGGGGCGCCGGCGCCGGCTCAGGCGCTACAAGCCAGAGGCCGAGAATTGCGTCGTCGATGAATTCGAATAGCGGGGTGTCTGCTGTGTACTCGAGCACCGCCGCCGTTGCTGCGAGCCCGGCAAGATCTTCGGAAGAGAAGGTCTACGAGGTGGTGCTAAAGCAGGCGGCGCTGGTGAAGGAGCTGCAGAGACGGTCGGCGGAGGAAGAGGCAGTAGCCGGAACGATATCGAATTGGGATCTTCTGAACGACGCTTACGATAGGTGCGGCGAGGTCTGCGCCGAGTACGCCAAAACGTTTTACTTGGGTAATTTCCCCCCCTTCCTTTCTCCGCTCTTCCCTTCCTCCTCTGTTGTTGTGGTTTTCATTTTTACTTTCTGTAACTTGACTAGGGATTGGAGCCTATATGATGATTTGTTTATTATTGTAATTAGCTATTTGAAACTGTGGTGATTAGTTAATATTTCTCCCGGTTTTCAGTTCAGTCTATGAAGTATGGTCCATGAAACCGTATCGTACTGGCGGTTTAACAAACGAAATACCCGTATTGAAGGCTAAACTGGTAGGTGGTATTTAACGGTCTAACGGTTAAACTGCGATTAAACTATGATTTTATCATAAAATATTATACCGCTGACTTTTCCGATACGATATCCGGTATAGTTTCATCATGGACCATGCTATGAAGGGGGTTAAGATGATGGTAGAATCTGTGTTGAACCTTAGCTAACCAGTTCGTGGAGCGAGAGCGGGAGCGGGAGCGAGAGCGAGAGCGTGAGAGCGCCTATATTATAAGAATTTGATATTAAGAGCGTAAAGAGAGCGTCATTATTATATTATTTTTATATTTATAATATAATTACTAAAAAATAGTACATGACATAATCATTGGAAAAATTTACATAAAAATATGATAACGAAAAGAGGACAAATATATTTTTTATTTTGAGAAATTAGTATTTCTTTTAGTTTTTTTATATTTTCTCTATTAACTTATTTTATATATTTTTTTCCCCTTAACTCTCGCTGGGCAACACTCATTTTCCATTCTTCCCCATCACAAAATGACTATTATCTCTTTCTTTCCGCGACCCAGAGCAAGAGCATTAGATCTCCAATTTTTCTACCGATCAAAATGTACCCTCTCCTCCATGCAATCTAAGATCTTGTAATAGATTTAATTGGACTCCCCAAAAGTCGAGCAAGCTGAATTAAATTGGAAAGTAGTGGAGTCCGCCGTTTGCTTGCGGTCGCCGTCTGTTTGCGGTAGCGGTGGTACGTCGCTGGCGGAAATGGCTGAATCATCATTGGGAACGGGAGGCTGAAACTCCACGCAACCCATGGTGGAGGGAGCGAGGATGCCGTCGACTTTGCCGGGGTAAGGTAGCTCTAGGAATTAGTTGTTCGAACTCAGGGGTGGGGACGGCGGAGCTCTAGGAACAGGTGACGGAGGCCGGGAACGTCGATTGTGAGTCCGATGTGGTTGCCAATGCCATCCAGGATCTTCCATGGGAAGATCGCGCTCCAAAAAATATAATTCGCGCTCCAAGATATTTTAGTTCGCGATTTATTGCCGAATTACTGAAAATTCGCGTTTACACGCGCTAGAGCGGGAGCGGCAGCCCTTGTGCCGCGAATTAGGTGACCTAAGTTGAACCTTGCAAACAGTTTTTTACTTTTCCTTTTCTTTCTTCTGTTAGAATGGGTCAAAACATTTTTTTGTGCTAATCCTTTGCCTTTTGTTGAAAGTTCTGCAACCAGAAACGAATATGTTCTAACCATCAAAGTTTGCTCTCAACTTTGATTTATCATTGCAGGAACCTTGTTGATGACACCGGAACGGCAAAGAGCTGTGTGGGCAATTTATGGTATGTGAGCTCTGTCTCCTCTCCTTGTTGTTCAACATGAGCTGGGAGCTCAATACTCATCTCCATGCGTCATTCTCAGTCGTCGCTGTTATTGTTTGTCCTTGTCCATTTCAACTGTTGCATTGAAACCCATATTTTATTTCCCGCTTCTACTTGTGTCTCAATCTGCCAACCGTGTCCGAGCCTTACTTGGACTGCTTATGGTGGCCGAATACTGGATTATTCTACGGCTTCCAGCACAAACAATTGAACGTGCTGTTTTTTTTTGTTGGATTTCTTTGGTAAGTTTGGTGCAGAAGGACTGATGAGCTGGTGGATGGGCCAAATGCAACTCACATCACACCGGAAGCTCTTGATGGATGGGAGACAAGACTGAAAGATCTCTTTGAAGGTCGCCCATATGACATGTTTGATGCTGCTCTATCCGACACGGTCACTAAATACCCTGTTGATATCCAGGTATACAGATTAATATTTTACTGGATCATGCACTCCCTTTGCTTCTGTTGGCTAAGGATCTTTCATCTTATGGAACTGAATGATCCTTCCTTGCCCTCTTTTTCCTGGTGCAGCCCTTCAAGGACATGATTGAAGGAATGCGGATGGACTTGAAGAAGTCACGATACCGGGATTTCGATGAGCTCTACCTCTACTGTTACTATGTTGCGGGGACAGTCAGCCTGATGAGTGTTCCGGTAATGGGGATCTCCACGGAATCAAAGGCTTCCACCGAGAGCGTTTACAATGCTGCATTGGCCTTGGGGATCGCCAACCAGCTAACTAACATACTACGAGATGTTGGAGAAGAGTATGCTCTCCTTTGTTTTCATTAACCCTCCAACGCTTCCTGAAGCTGATCGCTATCTGTTTGCTCTAATATTCGTTTTGATATTGTTTGGCAGTGCAAGGAGAGGAAGGATTTATCTGCCACAGGACGAGCTGAGGCAAGCTGGGCTCTCCGACGAAGATATATTCAAGGGGAAGGTGACGGAGAAATGGAGGAGTTTCATGAAAGGGCAGATCAAGCGGGCAAGGATGTTCTTCGATCAGGCAGAGAAAGGTGTTGGGGAGCTAAACGGGGCGAGCAGATGGCCGGTGTGGGCATCTCTAATTCTGTATAAGCAGATATTAGACGCCATTGAAGCGAATGATTATGACAACTTCACGAAGCGCGCTTATGTAGGGAAAGCAAAAAAGTTTGCGTCATTGCCTTTAGCTTATGGACGAGCACTTATGGGTCCACTTTCTAAACGAGCAGCTGACTCGGCTAGGACTTGCTGACTTGTAGGAGTGAAGCGGCCAATCATTAATATGACTGAATATAAGGTTGTTTGTTTTCTCTCTAAATTTTTGGGAATTTTGCTACGATTATGACTAGAATAGATCTGTAAATTCTCCCTCCTGCTTAATTTTTGTAATGAAAATGATGATATTTGTATTTGGTGCACCCACTCATTCTTTTTAGCGCATATTAGAACATTCATATTAATTGTAAAAGTAATTGTATTTGTTATCTTTATTGTCGCCTCAATTTAACTCATTACTTTCATTCACCTTTTCCCCATGGTCCAACCTTGTTTCTTGTATCGCCAGGTTTACTGACCCACAAGGTTCAGGAAACTAACTGGAGTCCGGATCTGGTGACTAAGGGGGGGTGCTTAGTCACATGGCTAAGCTCCCCTCAGCCCTTAGATTAGAATGGGTAGATCTAATGGTCCAGATGAAGGAAGGGTTAATAATTAATCATAGGGGTAGTTTTGGCATTTAAAAAAAAATTAAATCATGTTTTCCATTTTATTTATTTTTTCCTTTTTCCCCTCTCCAATTCTCTCTTCCTTTCCCGTTGTATTGTCCAGAGAGAGAGAGACGAGGCTTCTCCAGCAACGGCGAACGGCGAGGCTTCTCCGGCGAACGGCGAGGCGATTCTCCAGCAACGGCGAGCCGATTTCTTCCCGACGAAGGCCAAGCGATCTCCCGACGAACGCCGCTACGATGGAGGAGAGAGAGGCGGCAGCCTTGGAGAGAGAAAGTAGATCTACTCGTCGGAAAACAGAGGAGAGAGAGACGATGGTGAGGAGAGAGAGGCGGCGGAGAGAGCTTCGACGACGATGGAGGAGATAGAAGCGGCGCGGTGATGGAGAGAGAGAGGTAACGACGGCTGTAGAGAGAGTCGACGGCGACGGCGGCGGCGGCAGCGGCGGCGGCGTGGAGAGACATCGTATCGTCATCTGAAGGAAGAACAGTGATTTGTATAGTTTGTATGTTTTGTAACATTAGTTTGTATTGTTAGTATTTTTGTACAAAATGTCAGTATGGTTTGTATGTTTTTCTTTGACAGTTTGTACTCTTAGTATGTTTTTCTTTGACAATTTGTACTCTTAGTATGTTTTTCTTTGACAGTTTGTATTCTTAGTATGTTTTGCTTGTATTCTTAGTATGTTTCGCTTTGTATTGTAAGTACTAATAATTTGTATACTTTATATGTATTGATTTGTGATGCAAAAAACATTACAAACATGGTTGACAAAAATGACAAACATGTGGACAAAAATAACAAACATTACAAACAATACAAAAGAAACCAACAAACATTACAAACATTACAAAATAACAAACATTACAAACATTGCAAACAAACATTACAAACATTACAAACAAACATTACAAACAGTACAAAGCATACTACACGTACAGAATATCACTACTTAGAATACAGATTGGTAAACTTGTATTACAAACAAATGAATACAAAGTATACAAATCATAACATAAAAATATACAAACTTGAATAACAAAAGTTACAAATTACAATATATACAAAATAGTCATACAAACATTACAAACAATACAAACATTACAAACATGGTTGACAAAAATAACAAACATTACAAACAATACAAAAGAAACCAACAAACATTACAAACATTACAAACATGGTTGACAAAAATAACAAACATTACAAACAATACAAAAGAAACCAACAAACATTACAAACATTACAAAAGAAACCGACAAACAGTACAAAGCATACTACACGTACAAAATATAACTACTTACAATACAGATTGGTAAACTTGTATTACAAACAAATGAATACAAAGTATACAAATCATAACATAAAAGTATACAAACTTGAACAACAAAAGTTACAAATTACAATATATACAAAATAGTCATACAAAGATTACAAACAATACAAAAGTGTACAAACATTACAAAATAACCCGACAAACAGTACAAAGCATACTAAACGTACAAAATATCACAAAAAATGACAAACAATACAAAACATACTAACAGTACAAATCATAACATAAAGTATACAAACTGGAATGATAAAATTACGAAATCGTCGCCGCCAACAAATTGGCGATGTCGGTGTCTCTCTCCTCCTCAACCGCCGCTGCCTCTCTCTCCTCCACGGTCGTCGTCCCTCTCGTCGTTGTTCCTCGCCGCCGCCGCCGTTCCTCGCCGTCGTCGTTGTTGTTACTCGCCGCCACCGCCGTCTCTCTCTCTTCTCCTCTACCGCCGCCGCTCTCTCTCCTCTACGGTCGCCATTCCCCCTGGGACAATTCCCTATCCCTGCAAAACCATTGGCCGGCAAATTTGGGTCCTCTCTCTCTTTGCACTTGGTGGGATTGGGGAAAAGTTCCCGGCAGCCGGCGGCGGGGATTATTCCCAGCAACAGCCGCGGGATTATTCCCAGCAACGGCGGCGAGAATTGTTCCCAGCAACAGGTGAGGGAAGGACTTTTTTTTTTATTTACAAAATTAAAATGTATAATTACTATGTTGTCCTTCCTTAAAATGAATTAATTGTAGCCTTAGGATTTTAATGAGCATGGAAGGCTGAGATTGACTTAGCCAAGTGACTAAGGGTACCCCCTTAGTCACCTGATCTTAACCCTAACTAACTGTAGGACTCATTAGTCCCTCGTCGTAGCTAGGTTCATCTTCGCCAAATCATGGTGATTAGGTCATCAATGACAAACCTACAACACCACAAGAAGGTCTTATTACAAGTCCAAGGGCTAAGAAACTAAGAGAGGAAGTTGCTAGCTATTTGGATTGTTATCTTGAGGATATGGACGTGGACCATCATAAAGGGAAGCCCATTATGATGTTGCAATTCATTGAAGAGGTTCACATGAGCTTGGAGGATGAAGGTGGCGGCCAAGAGGTGAAGAATGGACTTTTGAGGGTTCGTTAGCCCGAAAGGAAGACCATTTCCTTAACCTAGAAGGAATGAAGGCGTGAAAGTGATCTCAAGTGTGAATAGAATGGAGGGTGCGGATTTGAAGGCATGTTTTAAGGGGTTGAATGGGTCAAAGTAGGTTTTCCTTTTACTTGTAGGATTTGGTCATTTATTTGCTTTCTTTTTGTTAAGTAGTCTATAAGCAGGGCCGAGTTTCATCATTGTAATCATCAACTTTTTATCAATCAATTCAAGAGTTTTACTCGAGTTTCATAGAAATGTTTTGTGCAAGTTTCTATTGAGAGTCTCCAGGAATTTCACGTGTCTCTTATCAACTAGAGATCATGTCTAGCTGTGACGAGCATCGACCTATATCAATTGTCCATTTCCACGAGTTGGTGCTATCCTATTGGTTTCATATACCAATTATCCTTTATCACGGTTGGGATTGTCCAATTGATTTCATCCTATCTTTTATTTTCGAGTTCAAGAAAAGTGACATCAAGAAAATCAAATAAAGATCGTTGAATCTGCATACTTCGGTCACATCACCTAGTCTACATGACTTGCTCTGTCCAAGCTTAGAAATGACATAATATCTTTATCGTTATTTCACCTCATGCCTGTTCTTCATTATTCCTTGGGTCTACAATTTTGTTCAAAAAAAAAAATTATTCCTTGGGTCCAAAATAATGAAACTTAATAAATCAATAATTAAAACTTAAAAAAGAAAAATTTACATCAAAATTGGTGAAAAACTTCATAATTTAAGTCCGAATTGTCCGCTATTTTGAGGCCAAAACTGTCATGCGCTTCCTTTTTCAGTGATTTCTTGGCTTTGCGAAGCATGGAACCGACAGAGACAAAACCTCATACCTCCCATTTTCAATATCTATGCTTGGATTCACGTCCACTTCAAAGTTCAAGGGGCTGTTTTGACCTTGCTCCAACAACATTTTCACCATCGTTACCCAAAGGCAATGGAAATTAATACTCCTACCAGAAGCAGGCTTCTTCTCCACAGCTATTGGGCGAGTACTTGGAGCATCATCCAGTTTTGGTTTCAGTTCATCGTAGCAGGACTTCACCCTTTCTGCTGTGATGTTTCCAAACAAAAGCTCTGCTGCTTTGTTCTTTACCAGGAGAGGTATATATTCCGATTCATCCCACACATATAACTGCCAACGTCAGATGTCTCTGTCAGTGCTGCATAATGTCACCTTGAAAGTCCCTTTTATGTTTAATATTAAACAACGATATACAGAAGAAGAAACAAAAATCAGGAAAATGTTTTAGCAGCAGTCATTTTACTGAAAAGAAAGGTTGTTTGCAACAGTGTGTGAACAATATACCATACCAGAAAAGGCCTGTATATCAAGCTTACTACATGGAGACAATTTGAGCTCTTTGCGCAGTAGAGAGAAGCAAAATTCTGTTTGAACCTGCAGCTGTGTAGGGAACAAATATTGGCTTGGTAAGTGCTGGCAAACACAGAACATGAAGATAATATAGAGAGCAGTTCGTAAGCTTCCATACCCATCCTCCATATTCAAAGGGGAACCACATAATTGACAACCAACGCAAATAAAATCTTCAGCTAGATCATCATCTTCAGTTCTAGCTGTTCTCCTGCTGACAAACATCTTCTCTTTCTCAGAGTCTCCAAGGGTTCTCCAGGTAATTGGTAAAAAAATTTCACCCACAAACCCATTGAATACAGCCTTGCAGGATTTGACTAACAAAGATACATCAGAAAGCAAGAAAAAGGTATGCGGTTCATTTTGTTCCGGTAACTTCCAGTTCCTATACTGCATCCTCTTCTGCTGCAACAAAATTTGAGTTCCCCGAAAGACCAGAGCACATGAGCAAGAATATGAAATACAACTAAACCTCTAGCTTGCGTTGGGTAAGCATGGTTGGTTCAGATAAAGTATTACCTACCATAGACTCGTGTGACCCATTGGCAATGTTGTAGAGAGCACAGCCATCTTTCTTGACCCATTTGATCACTTTTGCTAACTTTGCCTTTGCTAATTTCTGGACTCCAGATTCCATAATCAGTTCATCGAGACCTACATTGATTGAGACAGTTCCTCATATCCACAGCATGAAGGTCACAACATCGCTCCAAGGAGTCATTTACAGAGTTACTATCAGATTCAACCTAAAAGAAAACTGGGAGCTAGGCATGCATGTTCCCATAACCTAGTCTTCCATACTATTGTCCTATGAACTATTCAGCTTCTACTTGGAGAGATAATAGAGTTGATAACCGGTTAATCAAACAGTACCTTTAGAAACTAGGGATTCATAAGGATGCACCAAACGAACTACTGACGAACACAGTGCGCTTCTAGCCTCCACGACTTGTCCAAATTTGGCTATCTTCATATCTGAAAGCGAATTCACACAAACGTGATCGTCCGGAATCGAATCCAACGGCTTCAACCTACCGAGAGAACCATACTATTGAGTTAATCGCTATTACTCTGCAACAACACAACGTCGCCGGCAGCGGCAACGTTTCTCATCTGCTTCTGCCACAAGGACACGACGAAGAACGGGTGCGTCTCATCGCCGACCTGAATGTCCGTCCTAACGGTTTCTCCACCTTTCGGCAACTTGTACTGTGAACAGAGGAAAAGAAGAAATTGGTGGGAGTTCTAAGAGCCCATGATACCATCGAATCGTAAAATTGGAAGTCGTCGTGTTAAGGAAAACAAGAAGAGAAGAATGTGAGGACCTGCACGGGAGTGGAACGGTGGACGAAGACGAGCAACTGAACGAAATCACCGACGTGAGAGGCGACTCTGCATAGATCCACCTGTGGGCCGTACCATCCGATGACCGAAGTCATCTCTGGTTCCTTTGACTCGGTAGTCGGTACTCGTTCAGGGAATATACTCAAAATTTTTATTTTGGTTCGTGATTTTTGAAATTACTTATTTGGACTGAACTATACACCTGTCTCTCGGTTGGACCCGGTACGACTTAAGTTGGGATTCAAAATGGCCTGTAAAAAAGCCCCTGGTCAGAGGAAAGGGAGGAGGGGGAAAGAAGGGGAAAGGATCAGGTCAGTAACTTTATGGTGAGTAACCATAAGTAACCCATCCACATCAGCATGACATCAGCATCCTCTCTCTCATGGAAAGTCTTTAATTTTTCCCTTTTTAATCTTTGAAAGACGATTTCTCGCTCATTTTAAGTCGAAATTTATTTTTTTTTGCACAGTTAGATCAGATTAATTGTGATCTTCAAAATGATATCCACTTTAATATATTTTTCGAACAAAAAAAATTGAGCCATTTTTTACTAGCCTATACCATATGGTATTGACTGGTATTGAAATAAAAGCATACCTATGTTTTGAAAAACGTACCATGGTGGTATGAACAAACCAATAATGTAGGATGGTTGAATACATGATAGTAGAAGTATATTAATTGTAATTTACGACTTTTAACATTGTATACCACACAATACCACCCCGTACCAGGGTGGTATTGTGTGGTATTTTTTGGTCTTATAATTTGTTCACCCAGAAATTTGTAGATCCAATAGATCATGATGAACTCGTCCCTTCTGTGCAAACGTTTTCAAAAACGAATTAAAAATGAAGAAGATACCATACAATACCACCCCGTACCAGGGTGGTATTGTATGGCATAGTTAGTAAAATACGGTACGGGAAAGTTACGTAAAAAATACGTACGGGTAGTTTACGTCGTCCCTAAACTAATGTTACGTTTAATAGTACGTTAATAGTTGTAAATACATAAAATTTAATTATTTTAAAATTAAATAAATATATAAATAATAGTAAAGTTCACAATTTAATTCATTTAATACGGATATTAAACGTGTTATACGGGTTTTATACGTGTTTAGTACGGGAGCCATCAAATGAACGGAAAAAAATGAAACGGCTTGACAATAATACGGATACGGAAGTTTTAAACGGATATAATACGTACGGGTACATATACGTGTATTAAACGGAGTATTTACTAACTATGTTGTATGGTATTGTGTGGTATTTTTTGGTCCTGTAATTTGTTCACCCAGAAATTTGTAGATCCAGTAGATCATGATGAACTCATCCATGTTGTGCAAACGTTTTCAAAAACGAATTAAAAACGAAGAAGATACCATATGGTATGCAGTTGGTACCGAGAGGCCAGAATTTTTTTTTCCTAAAAAAATATTGAAAATTGATCTCATTTTGTAGAGCACGGTGAACTCGTTCCATCTGTGCAAAAAAAATTAAAATCCGAGTTAAAACGAAAAAGATATGAGTCAATTAAGAAAGCTAGTGAAAATAAAAATAGTCTTTAATTTTCCATCCTTAGATCTGGATTTTCTAAATGAAGGGTCCAGATTTGGTTATTGATGGGTGCATAACCCATGGTTATGCACCCTATCTTGAGCCGGAAAGAAGGAAGGAAGATGGTGGGTGAGTTATGGAGAGTATGTAGGTTTTATTTTGTGTGAAATAAGTTTCTAATACATACATATCAGAAAGATTTCATTTTGAGTTGTTAATTTTTAATTACTACATTATTTGTACATATATTTAGAAAACATATAAAACGGCTCAAACCAATCGGACCCCAATCAAACCAATAAACCTCAAACCCCTTGCTTGACCGACTCAATGACTTCACCTGGTTTGACAACCTTGATACACCGTCTTCATTGCTTGGCCCGGTGCGGGTTTTGACCGTCAAATTAGACGGTCAAGTACATTGACCGTTAGTCAAGCGTCAAGCCACTTGCCACGTGCCCACGTCAACAAACCCGAAATAAAATTTTTGGATTTTTAATTTCTGTAATTTTTTTTATTTTCATTAGTTGATTATTATTGTTATTAGAAAATGAAACGAATTAAATAAATTCAAAATCCAATTTTTTTATTTCAGGTTCTCTGACGTGGCAAGTGACGTGGCGCTTGACTAACGGTCAATGGCGTTGACCGTCCAATTGGATGGTCAAAATCCACACCTGGTCAAGCAAGGAAGTATGGTGCATAGTTCGGGTTAGGAGAGCAAGTTCAGAAACCACGGTTAAAGTAGAAAAATTGGGTATAATTCGGGCCATTGATTAACTTTTTAGAAATCAGTTCCCCTTGTATGAGTTATGTTTTTTTACTTTTGAAAAAAACTTTTGTCCATGAATAATCAAGGTGTTGGAAAACTAGCGATGTTCTTTTTATATTTTAAGTAATTGAACAATTTGAGGTAATGCCTATTTATTAGTCAAATCTTTTTTGGATTCTTTTTTATTAGCCAAACCTTTCGAAATACTAAGAATTAGCTAAATGTTAATTTCAGGTTAGCAATTTTGTTAGTGATATTAACTTGGCAACATGATACTGACTTGTAAGAGACACATGAAGGTCAACATTCCAAAATTTTAGTATTTTAACTAAGAAAGAGTTACAAAATTATTAACGATAACATAAAAATGACTAATATTATGATGCATTATATGAAAATTTTGACTAATTAATAACATTTTAATAGGTTTGGATAATATAAAAGAAATTAAAAAAGGTTAGGATAAAAAATAACATTATCATTAAATTTTTCATGATACCAAATGAAAACTTAACTTAGTCCATAGAGTCATTGTTATTTATATCATTGACGTATTCATCGGAGCAACGGGCATGTACAAAACTAGCTTTTAATGAAGAGATTCTCGAATCAACACCAACTCAAATGAGTTTTCCTCACCGAAAAAAAAAATTCAAATGAGTTTTTCATGGCCTCCCTGCCGTGAAGCATGTAAGGACGTATTAGTCCTTTTATATCTCATTATTTGGTGCATAAGCTACTCCAATATTACTTGGACTTTTTGTTTTGTTTTCCACAGCACACCAAACTTTAGAAAATCAGTATTATATAAGTAAATATAAAAAGATTTAGTTATTAATTTAGTTACTCAAAACATGTGCATTAAATATGTTATAAGTGTTTAATACGTGAAAGATCATTAGTTTCTTACTGTGATGTAACGTGCAAAAAAACTAGTTTATCTTATTAAGCTACGTTATCTGATCTATTATGAATCTTCTTATACTAATTTAATACTTTGATAACAATTTTCAAAGTGTTATATTTTTATTTTATATACTATGCCGCAACAATATCATTGTACTCATCTTCGCTTGAGCTACATGCAATTGGGTTTTCCCCCCTCTTCTTTGAAGCCCATTTGACAGGAGTGGAGCCGAAGTAGACAAGGTATGCTGTGGTGGAGGAGCCATCATCGAGATTCCTCGCCCGATCCGCATCAGAGAAAGCTTGGAGACGGCGAGGATGAGGAAGAGAGCACGAGGCCGTGGTCGATAGTTCCTTTAAGATACCGCAAGACACGTTTGACAGCATTCCAATGTTAGGCGGAGGGACGATGCAAAAATTAAGATAGTTAATTCACTGCGAAGCTAATGTCGATCCGAGTGAAGGATAGATATTGAAGGCCACCAAGAATGTTGCGATAAGTGGAGCCAGTGGCAGATGGAGAGCCATCTTTAAGCTGAAGAGTCGTGATGGATGATAGTGGTGTGGTCAAAGATTTAGCTTCAAGCATGGTGGCACGATGCAGGAGATCAACTATATATTTGTGTTTGCTGAGGAAGGCCCCGGAAGGACCACGAACGAACTAAAGACCCAGGAAGTAATGGAGGTCGCCAAGATCCTTCAGAGAAAAGTGAGCAGCAAGCATTTGAACACAACGAGAGACATGTGTCGATGAAGGGCCAGTAATGACGATGTCGTTGACGTAGACAAGGAGGTAGATGACAGAGGATTGGTGACGAAAGGTGAACAATGAGACATCATACTTGGACTGAGTGAAGCTGGACTGTAAAAGAAAATTTTACAGAGCATGATACCAGGCTTGAGGAGTCTGTTTGAGGCCGTTAAGAGATTTGTGCAACCTGCAAACAAAGGTAGGGTTAGTAGAATCAAGTTGAGTCATATAGACTTCCTCCTGCAGCATGCCGTTGAGAAAGGCGTTGTTGATGTTGAGTTGTCGAATGGGCCATCCACGGGCGACGACAAGGACAAGGACCACACAGATTGTGGCCGGTTTCACGACGAGACTATATGTATCATGGAAATCCAGGCTAGGACGTTGATGGAAGCCTTTGGAAACCAACCGGGCTTTATATCGAGCTATGGAGCCATCAGCATTTCGTTTGATGCGAAACACCCACATGCAACCAACAACATGGGCACTCTCAGTTTTTGAAGTTAGGGTATGTGTGATTGGCATTAAGGGGGACTAGCTCCTCCAACATGGTTGCACACCAAAGAGGATCAAGAAGAGCCTCTCACACACTAGTGGGTTCGACGGGAGATGTGGGCGGATGGCGAGTGGCGGTAAAGAGGCGTTTGGGACTGTATATGTTATTTCGGGAACGTGTGATAATTTTGTGGGAAGTAGGTGGGGCAGTAGGAGCGGTGGGTTGGGAGCTAGGAGGAGTGAGTGGGGGTGGGGAAGGAGACGATGCTCCTGGGGAGTGGTGGTGGTGAGAACGGCGAGCCAGGTAGTCATCTACAAAGGGGATGGTGTGAGGTGAGAGAAAGGAAACTGTGTTTCATCGAATGTGACGTGAGGAGAAACATAAACACAACTCGAAGTAGGTTGGAGACACAAATAGGCACTTTGAGTGGAACTATAGCCCAAAAGGACACATGGAAGTGAGCGTGAGTCGAGCTTGTGGGACGAGTAGGGACGAAGATACGGGAAGCAAAGGCAGCCAAATGCATGAATGTTGTTGTAGTTGGGATGAGTGCGATGAAGATTGTAATGAGGAGAAGAATGAGAAAGCATGGGAGTGGGGAGCTTGTTTATGAGGTAGACTGTGGTGTGGAAGGCATAATTCCAGTATGTGGAGGGAATTGAGGCTTCATCAAGGA